AGCTATTATAGGAACTGTTGGGTAAATTTTCTTTTTCTTTTTTTTTTTAATTTTTGCAAATTTTCAATTAATCATTTTAGGCTTTAAAATTAAATTTTGGATTTCAATGTTCTTCCAAAGCTATATAAGATTAGCATAAAATTGAATTGGAGTGGGCTTTGACACAAACAAAATGATAAAAAATTATTTATCAAAAACAAAGTCTGAACGAACTTAATTTGGTAAATCCAATTAAGAAGCTTAATCTAATCCCAAATCAAAATGTTTAAATTAAACATAAAGAACAAATAAACTTGAATCGTTTCAAATAAAATTAGATGTCTATATTTAATAATTTTATGACAATAGAATGAAAAATATTTTTTAGATTTTAGAATATATTAAAAATATAATACATATATATTAGTTTTTTAATTTAATTTGTAATTAAAAAAATTATTTTTAATATATAAAAATGAACTGTTTACATATTTATTATATGAAAGTGTCCATTAGAATGCTATTTGGAATAATGTTGGCATTGAAGTTTGAACTCCCGAATGACCATTTAATTCGACTTTTACATTACAATCTAATCCAAGACCCAATTGTTCTTCAATCCGGACCGAACTATTTTCACCTTTAATGGAAGGAAAATGGATGTTTGATAAAGTTATACTAAAGATAAATGGGAAATGCGAAAGGGAAAATGCAGAGCTAAAATTGTGAAGGCAATACGGGGAAAGGAATGAAAGGAACGCTACTATAGGAACTGACCTTATCTCTCTTTTTTTTTTTAGGTAATTTTTTTAAATTTTTATTTTAAATTAAAATTTGGACTTCTATGTTCCTCTAAAGCTATATAAGATTAGCATAAAATTGAATTGGAATGGGCTTTGACCTAAACAACATGATAAAAAATTATTCATCCAAAATAAGTCCGAATTAACTCAATTTGGTAAATCAATTAAAAAAGTTTATTTTGATTCCATATCAAAATGTTTAAATTAAACATAAAAAATAAATAAACTCAAATTATCTCAAATAAAATTAAGCATTTATACTTAATAATTTTATGATAATAAAATGATAAATATTTCTTAGATTTTAGAATATATAAAATATAAATATATTAGTTTTTTTAATTTAATTTGTAAAATTAAAAAATTTATTGTTAATATATAAAAATGAACTCTTTATTAGGGTCGGCAATCCAACCCGTTCCCGACGGGTTTCGATCCGATCAAACCCTATGAGGTTGGTTTTTTTTTTTTTAATTTGAGTTTCAGGTCGAGTCGGGTCGGATAAGGTTAGGAAACAATCAGGATCAGGTCAAGTTCGGGTTTGCCTAAACCCGACCCAACTCGACCGCGAATTATAAAATATTTTTAATTAATTACTTAATTTTTTATTTAATATATATATAATATATTTTTAAATATTATTTAAAAAATACAATTTTATTAATTTCGATGCGAGTCAGATCGATTTATATAAACGATCCATCAATATAAAAAAATAAAAAAAACTTGAATAAAATCGAATTCGAGTTTAATAACATATAAAATTAGATCGGATTCAAGACGAGTGAAACTCACCCCAAACCCGACCCAATACCAATCTTACTCTTTATAAATTTATTATTAGAAGGTGTCCATTAGAACGTCATTTGGAATAATGTGGCATTGAAGTTTGAACTCCGAATGACCGTCCGGTTCGATTTTTACGTTACAATCCAATCCAAGACCCAATTGTTCTTCAATAATTAAAGTAACGTTAGAACAGCTCAAGATTGGACATTAACATATACGTTTAAGAATGTACAAGAGGCTAAAGTTTAGAGAGTGTCCAGTCCAACAAGGAGGATGGCCTACGCCACCTTTTTGCCTTAGCATGATCAAGGTCGTGCTATGCCAATCATGGCAGAAACGTATGCGCTGTGGGCTTCCGGCCCATAATCAATCAATTGATCGATTTTTCTATGAAATAATTTGCTTAGTTTTGTCATTGTATATATTTTCCCCTACTCTGAAGCTAATCCTAATATTAAGTTTCAATTATTTTTCCTTTTCTTCTTCATTAAAAAACAATAATGAATGAAACATTGATTTAATGGTATAAGGAAACCCTGAAACTGTGGCATTTTAAATTTAAATCTCACAATACATGAATTTTTTCTAATTTTATGTTGTATTAGTTCAATTACGTGCTTGATCGTTTGATTTAATTTTTTTTTTTTGTGTAAATGTAATAGTTTTGTTATCATTGTAATTATTTTTATACTTGTAAATTTATAAAAATTAAAAAACTTTTTATAAATGTGTGCTTACATTATTTTTATTTGAAAAACAATCTAATAATTTTGACAACAAATTCCAGAATAGAGATATAATTGAATCGAAGCAATCAACTATTATGCTTAAAACGTATCTAAAGCTCAATCAAGCCTTATGTTTTAAGGGTATTTAAAATTTGATTTTAACTGAATGAATCGATTGGATTGATTTAATTCGATTAATCAGTTGGTTATCAAATTAATTTTGGTTAATTATAAAAAAATTTCAAATTTCAAATAATTTGATTTAAAAACATAATAATTAACTGAAATATAATAAAACCTCTATATAAAATTACCTATTTCATTTCAAATTATTAAAATTTTTAACTTAAATACTTTGGTATTTGAATTTTTTGTTAAATAATTTTATTTAATTTATTTTAAATATAAGAATTTAAGAATTTAAAATATAATTTAACTTAATGTATTTTATTATTTTGTAAACTGAAAAAATTAATCAACTCAATATAATTAATTTTGGTTAATTAATTTTCAAAATTAAAATATTTAATTTGATTAACGAAAATAAAATAACATAATTCAATTAATTTAATTTTGAATAATTCAATTTGATATAAATTGAATTGACCGAATAAACACTCCTATTATGTTTGCATTTGAGCTTCACTCGTAACTTATTCGAGTAGTTTTAGCTTAATTCAATAAACTCAATTAAACTCTATAAAATTGTTAATATAGACATAAAATACAATATTTTTATATCATTTATTTTTATATTAAATATATTAAAATATTTTATAAATAAAGATCTGATTAGGGTTATAAATTTATTGAGTCAAATATTAAAGTATTTGATTCTATAATAGCTCAAATTTAAACTTGACTGCAAAAATGATATAATTAAACTCAAATATTTATCAAATTGAACTCAAATAATTCGTAATAAATTTACGCCTCGTGGCTACATACATATTTCAAATTAAGGTCTTATGTTCAGAAAAATAAACGTGTCACATTTGTAAAAGGAGGAGGCCAGGAATTGATGATGAAAGAAATACTTTAAGATGCATTTGAATGAGTGATATAAGAAGGGATTTTATTTGTATAGAGATTTTTAAAGTTTTAAAATAAAAATTAGAATTGTCACCCATATTATTCGAATGAGTGATTTAAGAAGCAAATTTTGTTTTCTTGGATTATAATTACAAAAACTTATTAGAAAATTTATTTTTTTATTTTTATATTATTAATAATATTTACGTATTTCTACGAATCTAATGACACCCATATTATTTATATATTTTTTAATATTTTAATTTTTTATCTCTAATATCATTATTTATCCGTTATAATTTTTTTTATCTTATCAAATTTTAATATTTAAAATTTCTTTTCTAAAAAGTAATTATTCAAACAATGCAATTATAAATTATGTTATTTTAAATTGATGTATTTTAAAATCCTAACATTATAAAATTTTTTAAAATTTGGAAATTCTTATCCAAAAGCACCATTAAAAATTTGAAATCTACAACCGCATATTCCAGCATTTAAATATCATACTTAACCTGCAATATCTGTAAAATTTACCGATGCACGAAACATCAAATTTATAAAAAGTTTATGTAAATAAATTAATAATATGAAATAATTTTAAATAATTTAATGTATATAATTTAATTATTGTTCTTTTTTAATTTATATCTAATTATATTTTATAAAAAAATTGAATTTTTACTTGAATTTGAATATAAATAAATTCTATTTATTGAAAAAAATTTATTCAAATAGATGTTCACGTCATCACATTTTATCCAATAACTTTATACGATATAATATAATATAAAATAAACAAAAAAAATTAGGACTATGAAGAACAATATACGTCCAAACACACAGCAAGAATTAATTACCTTCTTTGTGTGAGAATATATTTTTATTAACTCAACTATATCAATGAGCTATAGTTTAGTAATTTTTTTTTTTTTAAATAGTAATTGTATGTATATATGCATAGAAGTTATCAAAACATGATTAAGACCATGTGCTTATAGTTATAATAATGGCAATATAAAACTCATTCGGTCGTACGGAATCACAAGGATTATTCCATATTGCAAAGATAGATATGCCCCATAAAATACACAGCCTCTTCAAACCATTATAATAAAACATTTACATAATACTACTAATTATTCTTTTGATAACTATTTATATTTAATATATTATCAATGTATAAATTTTATAATACTGTCAATAAATTAAATGATATAATCTTATTAATAAAGTAAATAAAATGATGACATATCATTAATAAGTAAATTTAAAAAAAAATTAAAATTTTGTATATTTATTTTAAGAGTTAATATTCATTCATTAATGAATTAATATCATCTAATTTATTGATAATATATAAAATTTATATACTGATAATATATCAAATATAAACTCTTTTAATAAATTAATAATTACATATCGTTTAGCCCAACAGACGGGCATCATAATTTTTTTTTTGCGTGTCCCTATTTCATTAGCATATCCTTTCATAGAAAGCTTGTAGAATATCCTTCATATTCCCTTCTCAATTTCTTGTTCTTACCCCAAGCCCTTGGTATCAACGTTTGTAGCCTTATTGTTTTATGCCTTTAATAGAGTTTCCTATATAAAATGAGCCAACAAAGACGAAAAATCTGCAACCAGATCAAGGAGCTAATAAGCAAAGCTCACAAAAAAAAAAAAATGGCGTCAGACGATAATCTAGCTTTGCTCCAAGCTCTGGACACGGCTCGAACACAATGGTACCACGTGAAAGCTATTGTCATCGCTGGCATGGGTTTCTTCACCGATGCCTATGATCTCTTTTGCATAACAACCGTGTCCAAACTCTTGGGCCGCCTTTACTTCTACAATCCAACTAGTCACAACCCGGGAAAGCTCCCAAAAGGCATTAACAACTGGGTTACGGGTGTAGCCCTGTTTGGAACTCTTACCGGCCAACTAGTCTTTGGTTGGCTTGGTGATAAACTAGGCCGCAAAAAAGTGTATGGGATCACTCTCATACTCATGGTGATTTGCGCCATTTGCTCAGGTCTATCATTTGGATCCACCTCCGGATCTGTGATAGGAACCCTTTGTTTCTTTAGATTTTGGCTGGGTTTTGGAATTGGTGGCGACTATCCTCTTTCTGCCACAATTATGTCTGAATATGCTAACAAAAAAACCCGCGGGGCATTCATTGCAGCGGTTTTTGCCATGCAAGGTGTGGGGATTATATTTGCTGGTTTAGTTTCGATGATTCTTTCATCAATCTTCCTTAAGTGCTACAAAGCGCCGTCATTCAAAGATGACCCTATCTTCTCGACCCAACCTCAAGCAGATTATCTATGGCGGATTGTGCTGATGTTCGGTGCCTTACCAGCTCTTTTAACATTCTATTGGCGGATGAAGATGCCCGAAACTGGTCGTTACACTGCTCTTATTGAAGGAAATGCCAAGCAAGCGGCGGCTGATATGGGTCGGGTTCTTGACACCGAACTCGAAGTTGAAACAGAGAAGCTTTCCCAATTCAGGGCAGCAAACCAGTACTCGTTACTATCCCATGAGTTCTTCAAACGCCATGGGCGTCATTTGATAGGTACAATGACCACATGGTTCTTGTTGGATATTGCTTTCTACAGCCAAAACCTAACCCAAAAGGACATTTTCCCCTCTATGGGTCTCGTCAAAAAGGCTTCTGAAATCAACGCTATTGAAGAAGTCTTCGAGACCTCGCGTGCCATGTTCATCGTTGCTTTGCTTGGTACATTCCCGGGGTACTGGGTCACCGTCCTTTTCATAGAAAAGCTTGGGCGCTTCATCATCCAACTAGTGGGCTTCTTCATGATGTCCTTGTTCATGCTGATTCTTGGCATCAAATACCAGTATCTCAAGGAAGACAATAAGTGGTTATTTGCTGCTCTCTATGGGCTAACGTTCTTTTTTGCGAACTTTGGCCCCAACAGTACAACCTTTGTGCTCCCAGCAGAGCTATTCCCTACCCGGTTGAGGTCCACTTGCCATGCACTAAGTGCAGCGTCAGGGAAGGCTGGAGCCATGATTGCGGCTTTCGTGGTGCAAACATATACATTGGACCAGAAAGTAAGCTCAATCAGGATTGCCATCATGATTCTGTCCTTTACAAATATGTTGGGATTTTTTTTCACGTTCCTGGTACCAGAAACCAAAGGTCGCTCTTTAGAAGAAATTTCGGGCGAGGATGGTGGTGGCCAGAACGAGACTCAGATGACCGCCAGGCGATCGGTTACAATGAAAGGAGGCGGCCATTTGGAAGCCATTTGAAAGTAAATTATTAGCTTTGGACGTTGATGATACGATTACCAAGCTAGCTAGTTTTCAAGTGCGAGGAAAAAAGAAAAACTGTTTAATAAGTGGGCGAAAGACGACAGTTTTTTGCCTTGTTTTGGTTTGCTTTTGATTTGTCTGTTCTGTGAGTAAGAACTAAAGCCATTACCATCTAGCCCATTTTATGCTATTGCCCAAGGGTTTTCCTTGTTCGTTTTATATGTAACCATAAACTATAAACATAGTCCAACTTATAATTTTTTTTTTTTTTAGTTTTTAAAATTATGGTTTTTTCCTAAATGAAAAAAAATACAAAATAAGTTAATTTACTTAATTAAATTTATCACATCAATTTATACTTTTCACTGAAATCAATCAAAATCTAATCAATTAAGTATTTAAGATCAATTGATATCTTGCTTGGAAGAAAATTATTTTAAAATTTATTTACTTAATGTATTGTATATAAATGTTATATAATATTTGTGTATCATAAATTATCATATCATTTATAATTTACATAATTTATTAGTAAATTTAATATTTTTAATAAATAAAGTGAAAACTTATAATTTTTTGGATAGTATATAATATTTATTTATTACTAATTTATTAATATAAAATTTTTTTTTAAGATTTACCCAAAAAATGTAGGTGGAATATTTATGCTAATAATTTATGTCTTTGACAATTCTATCTTATATCGAAGTATGGATTAAGAGTTCAATGATAAGGGGCCGCTAATAATAGAAAATTCATTTGAATTTCGAATTTTTTCGGTTATATCTTTTCACCGTGCGAGGGACCGAGCCAGAAAAAGTCAAATCTGCGAACCTCTAGGATAACAGAAAGGGCGCCAAACCAAACCCTAGAAAAAAAAAATTGACATTTCCTTCATCCCCGAAAGGCCGAAATTCCCTCGCTTTACCTTCACCTCAGAAATGAAATGGGATATGGAGATCGAGGAAGTCGAGGCTGTTCTAGAGAAAATTTGGGACTTACACGACAAACTCAGCGACGCCATTCACTTGATTTCGCGAGCTCACTTCCTTAACTCCATCAAAGTCCTCAGAAAATCCGACAAGAAGAAGCTCTACAACGACGTCGTTGTCGGCAACGATAATAAGACCGGCTTCGTCTTTTTCAAAGACTTCCAAATCGAAGATGGTGGCTCCACAATTCAAGAGGCCAAGAGTCTTAATGCTATCAGAACGGCTCTCGAGAATCTCGAGGACCAGCTCGAATTTTTCCATGTCAGTTTAACTGCTTTATTTTCGATTGCGGTTATTCGCTGGTTTTGGTTGATGATTTTGGTTGCTTAGGGTTATATTTTTACTTTTAATTTCTTAAGTAAAATCCATATACGGGTGATTATGAGAATGGTTCAATTATATAACTAAATGAAACCAGCTCTACTACTTTAATGGGAAGTGAATTTCTAAAATTTGCTTCTCGTTTTGCTAATTTTACTTAAAGTTCTGTTTGGTTGTTAAGGAATTGAAGGGAACGTTAAAAAAGGAAAGAAAAGTCGATTTGTGGGTTGCTTTTTGTTTTTATTACCTAGCTAATGCATCAATGATGTGTTTGTGGATTTGAGAATCTTATTAATCAAGTTATATTGTACGGAATAGAGTGTTGAAAAATGAGCAGCAGAAATCAAGTTGCTAATGGTTATATAGGGAACTGAGTGGCGGATTTTTGCATTTGTATGATGGTACAGATGTAATTATGAAGGTTTTGTGTTTGGATCGAGGGCATGGACTTAGAAGGAATAAAGCGAAAAAGGAATCATTCAGGCAATTGTTCAATAGTTGCACTTTCAAGCTTTGCTACATTATAGCTTTTATAGAAACTAGCTTTATTTGAAATGAAGTTGCTTTAGTTTTGTGGATTCTGGAGTCTGGAGATAATGGTGAGATTATGAGGAGATGTATTTGGATTTTTATGATATGTATGATGTAGCTTGTATAGAAGTGAGCTTTATTTGAAATGAAGTTGCTTTAGTTTTGTGGATGCTGAAGAGAATGGTGAGACGAAGAGGAGATATTGTAGGATTTGGAAGTAGAATCACAGGATGAGCAAAAGTTGGTTGAGATGTCTCTATGGCATGCCTAGTGACCACATTGGTATCCAGAACCATTTTGTGAACTTCATTGAAGGTGTTATAACAGTAAAATGTAAGAGAAGGAACTTGATACGAGATTTAATGCTAGGAAATGCACAAGTTTGCACCGACTAATGGGTTGAATCCTCAGACCTTGCTTCAAAATCCCAAGTGAAAAACACTGGATTTGGTCCATTTGGATTATTGTTTTTTTTTTTTTTTTTTGAGGTGCTGTGATGTTCATTTTTCACTTTCAGTTTCTGATCTTTCCTGTTTGCTTTTGCATTTATGTGTTGACAGTTTTTGGGAGATCAATAATTAGCATGGCACATGGATCTCTTACATATATCTTTTTGTTCTTGTTTACAGACGGTACAAATACGGCAGCGTGCAGAGAGAGATGCAGCCATTGCACGATTAGAACAAAGCCAAATAATTCTTGCCTTGAGATTGGCTGAGCACCATGGTAAGAAGTACAAAGTGATTGATGAAGCTCTAGCTTTTGTGAGAGATATACATGGTGCTAGCTGTTTTGTTTCACCTGAAAACCTTTACAGTATACCCATTAGTCCATCTGGAGAGAAACTCGTGTCACATGAAGGGAAGCACTCTAATATGCTAATCAAAGTTCTTGTTTCTAGCTTCAACTTTGCAAAGAAATCCCTGAAATTTGATCATATGGGTGGGATACTAAGCAATGCAGCTTTATTCGCAGTTAGCATGGTAGCAACGCTGCTTTTGCATCAGATTGCTTTCACAGAGCATCCACACACACAAGAAGATAACATCAACGGCCACGGAAATGTGAGAAAGTATTCTCAACTGGAACGGCCTTCATCCTATGATCATTTGAACCAGTTGGATGTGTCTTTGGCCCGGGGTTAAGGTGAAGACTAAAATTGGGTTAGAGGTTTATCAAAGGAAGGAGGTCATGATGTTTTTCAAATTTGAAGAAGCTTTTCTTTCTTTCAGTTCTTCCCACGGGAGTTTCAAGAGTGTTTAGTTGAGCATGTTAGCAAGGAATTGGTCCTTTTTTATGTATTGCCCTAGTTGGAGCTGTTGTCAAAATGCTGATTGCCCTTTCTGCCTTGCTGGTATTGTTGTTGAGCCACATTCCTTGTTAGAAAGTAGAAACGATAGTGAAGCAGGTAATCCCAGTTTACAGAGTATCATATTTCCATTACCTCCACAATTCTGTGTGTATATCCCTATTATTAACTAATGTTTTTGTGTATGCATGCCTAATCTTAGTTATATCACCTTTTAATCTCCTCCTCTCTAAGGGCTCCCTTTACACCTTAATGTGTGATATATGTTTGCTTGAGAAATTCATCATATTATGAAAAATGGAACCTGCGGACCTCACGCAAATTATTCTTGTTTCCTACCAAAATTCTTGTAGAGCGGGATGCCTAGGCTTGCTTTATATATGCCTTCAGCTCAATTAATTCACAGTGAAGTTACAGTACATTATAAATATTTTCCAATTGTTTGAGATTTTACCCTTTATTTTACTTTCTAATTTTCTGAGTAATTAGCCGTAGTCATTTTAGGGACCTGAAGTCTTTAATGCCAGTGTCTGGCTTTGGTCACCTTCTGTTAGACCCATATAAGAAAACCCTACTCAATCTGGTGTTTCTCTGACCCGACAACCTAGAATGGCATCTCAAATTCTCAATTCTCGCGCGTTGAGTGTACGCTTCCAATTTTGTTTCACGAAAAACATCTCACAAGTGTGCTATAAGGTTCCAATTCAACTCCAATACATTGTCCATATGGAATTTGAGGTTCCTTTCGCCGTGAAGTGTCCTATAAGTTTTCCTTTTCATTTCGTTTGTTTATATTTTCCCCATCTTCTTGCCACTTATCAGAGCTTGTGTCACTCTTACATGGCTCTTTGATTCAATTGACAGCCTAACCACCTGCACCACAATCTCTTCAGCATACTAAGATCAATCTGGCAGACTAATTCATGGCCCAAGTTTGAATATCTGGTAAGCAGGCATTTCTTATTTCGGATATTTCTTTCTAACATTTTTAATATCCTTTTCCACTCTTTTTAATTCCAGCAAAGGAAGTTAAAGAAAATTGGTGTGTTCCCCACGGTTCATTGGCCTTTAATAGTGGATTTGCTTGACTTGAAGTATTCTATGAATATTTTATCCAATTCAATTCCAATATGTATCCTCTGTCCTCTGAAGATTCATTCCCACTCCATTATGGGAAAAACGTCTCAAAAAGATTAAGCATGAAAAAGAAAAAGAGGACGTTTCCACACGTAAATAGAAGAATGATGACAAATTACAAAACCATCATGCAAGGAATGTCGGAAAGTTTAGCTTTGTTTAGGGCTTTTGACAAAGGTTTTAGTTGGCAGAAACCATAATTAACCCTATAATTTGCAGCTGTAGTGTTTAAACACTTTCTTTGACTTCTTATTGGATGCCATGACTCAAAGCTCCAATATTTAAGCAAAATCACAAATTAAACAGATTACAAGACAAAAAGAAAACATCCTCCTCTTTTTATGTCAAACTGTGTTTCCTCTTTGTAATCTTTGTATAATCCCAGGTGGGACATGATATCTTTATGTTTTCGGTGTGAAAATGTCGAACCAATATGAGTTAACATGGGACAATTTGGACTTCCAAAATGTAAACTGCAAATAAAAAAATAAAAGAAGAAGAAATATATTTATATTATAATATCTTCCACAGTTTTCATATGTATTTTAAGTCGAGTGTTCGCACATTAGCATGAGAGAAAAGTTAGTTTATGCTATTGTTTTGTTCTGTTTTGAAAGGTGAATCACAATCCATAGTATACTACATGGGTACACGTATTAATGTAAAAGCTTGCAATTAGGAGTCATACGAACATCCACTTTATCTTGGAGAAATCCAGTCCAGCTTTCAAAGATTGTCAAATTTCCCTCCTCTCCCTTCCCATAACCTTGTTGTCGGCAGCTGAAAGATAAAGCCTTCTGGCCTTAGGGACCTGACACATAACAACCTTGAAAGTTGCCCTTCCCACCACTTGTTTTACTCTTTTATTTTTTCTCTTCCCGGTCTGACTCAGACCATGCCTTGCGGTCTGATGCAGGTAAATATTACTAGCATCAATGAATATGTCAACCCAACCACGTGTCTCATGATTAGTCCGATTGAGACTTCATCATATAGCCACGTGGTTAGGATAATAAGGAAAAAAAATGCTTGACTGGACTGCAATTGGGTGCGCAAATCCCATACAGATTTCACGTGTTCATCACCTTACTGTGTATTAGGCCCCATTTTTATTTTGGGGTCTGGACCCAAGTCAAGAAAATCAAATGCCCACAAATTCTAATATTAGTTAGCATGTGGCTCGACTCAGGCCATTGAATTGATTTTGTGGGCCCATGGTTAGATTGACGGTTGCCATGGGCACTATTAGGCATTTGAATGGTCGGGCTTCGACAAGATCGTTGAGCTAAAAGGTAATGATTAGCATTAATTAATCATGATTTTGGTTAACTAGATTTTCATTACAAAGAGTACGGTGAATCTTGGTTAGATTTATCCCATTGATCCATTTTGACCGCAACTTATTAAGCTTTCGGAAAAACTCTCAAACTTTAAGGCACACTCAAGTGTCAAATGGACAATGGTGTCCATTAGTTAGTCCAAGCTATGGACTAGAGCTCCATCTCCTCATTTTGTCAATTCTATCAAATTAAGTTTTATATTGCATATTCTTAATTCTCTCCTTAAGAACAAGATATCTTTTCGAGATCTATTAGAACGATATCAATTGTTCTAAATGTTGAAATATACTTGAGACCTATATATTAATTATAATAATCAATAATAATAATGCAAATAACATGTCTCCAGTACTATATTTTAAATGGTTTTATATCGAGTCTTTATTTTAAATTGATTTTAAATTTTTTTGTCGTCTATTAATTCTTTTAAGTTTTTAATGTGATAGATTTTTCTATTTTGAGCTTGCATGTGAAGTAATGTTGGTATCTCTCACCTAATAAGTATAATTTTTTATGATTTTATATTCAAAATGAATATTTCATTTATTTTTAGGCTAAAATGTTTAACACTATTATGAAATTGATGGGAAAAAGAAAAACGAAGGAACGAACGTGCATGCATTGAGGTTTGCGGGAATCCAATTCTAAAAGCCCAAAGTTGAAGTGACGATGTGGAAAGCAGAGGCAAAAACCATGGGGAAGTGCATGCATGGGGAGAAAGTATCAGCTGATAGTGATGTTTAGGTAAAGGGCATCAGGGGAAGGGGGCGAGGCGGGGGGGGGGACCAAAGGTAGCTTGAAAAGAGGGCAGATAGATATATAGGCAAAGCAATTGCAGAAAAAGATGGGTCGTACGTCCGCAGCAGCTACCAGTTGTCTCTGTTCATTAACATTTGATAATTGCAGCTGGCGTAGCTACAAAAATTATACTAGTAAGTAGATGCAGACGTAAGCTGGTTTGTGTTAGTGAGCTGAATATCACTTCTCAGCCGTTATTGGTCTGATTCTGATAGCCTGGCACAGTGCCACCGCAAACTCTCTATATAGCCTCCTTTCGCCGCATCATGCATTCGTACAAATGGCTCTTCCCTCCCCAGCAACTTCTAACTTCTCCATTCTAGTGCTGCTTATTTAGTTTTATAGTTTTCATTAATTTCCTGGCCAAAGACCAGCATGTATACATTTTTCTAGTAAAATTTAATGAAAATAATGCATTCAATGTAAAAATATTTTTAAAAATAATAATTTAATTATCTTTACAATTGACGCGCCTTCCCATTTACACTGCTTTCTTACCATGCATTATTGATTCTGCCAATTTCTCTACTGGCATCTGAAAAATACACAACATTGCAGCGGCAATGATCTCTCACTGACACTATCCAAAAAATTTAGGAACATGACTTTTATGGTTGAAAATTTTGCCAAACTGTTTTATCATTTCTATTAATAATTCTGTGTTTTTGACAGTACACATTCATCCCTACTGTCATTTCCCCTTTCTAATTTGTCTTCCACATTTTCCTTTTTTTTTTACAGTTACCTATATTAATGTATTTAACCAAAATTCGCAATAACTTTTTGTCTTTGAAAATTTTCACTACAAACAACAGAAGATAAGATCTGCACGCTTTGTGAGTCGGCCTCAAGTATTGGTCTATTATTTTTATTATAAGTATGTGCAGTATTAGCTACTATACTATATTTATGAAAGCGATCATAATTTAAAATGAATTATAGATATTTAAATTTAAATTTAAACTTATTATATGTATATATTTTTAAATAACCATGGATTGTATCCTTTTGCAGACATAATTATTGGAAAATTTAAGTTGCGTTCAATGTCCCCTAGGATAAACTTGTGGAAGGCACGTGGTAAATGGTAATGGTATAGTAAATATTCCATGGTCCGTGGCCCTCTATGGCAGCACATGAAAAAAAACAATTTATGATACGGTTTCATATAGACATAATTATCATGATGAGGACTTTCTGCATTTCCATTCTATTACTCTTTGAGTAATAGTGAAGGAAGCTTAGTTAGCAACTACTTTCCAATAATTTCATTACCCAAAAGAGTCTTGGAGAGTGAAGACCCCCACCTTCTTAAAGTATTCCTGTTTCAATGTCATTTTATGTCTTGCGAATTTTAATGTTACTACTTTTTATTATTTTTTGCTATGTTAATTGTGAAATTGGTTATTATATTATGGTTCAATATTATTGAATTTTTTTTAAATATTTCAATTTAATTGAATTTTGTATCTATATTTTTAATTTTGTTGAATTTTAAAAAAATAATAGAATTAAAACATTTCATTATAGTAAGGGGCGCAAACTTCCATTAATTTTGTAATTTTTTAAAAAATATAGTAATAAAATTCAATAAAATTAGAACACTACAAAAAATTTCATCATTGATTCATAGTATAATAGCAAATTTAATCTTAATCCCATTTTAAATAATTTAAAAACATCAAATTGCTGAAATGCATCATTGAGATAGTAATCCTCAATCAAACACAACAAATTGTTAAAAATAGTTAGTTGTTACCATCATTATATCACTGAGTTTGAAATTGATGTTCATAATGCATCCACGAGGCAATTGCAGCAATATCCCACTTTTTTCAAACCGTAAGGGGGTTGAGACAAGGGATGAGGGTCCTATTGAAATTTCAATTTATTTTCCGGATTAATTGTACTAACAAATATAAACAAAAAGTACTAGTAATAAAAACATTGATCAATGAGAATTAATGGAATTGATAAAAATTTAATATTTTATTTATAAAATTAGGGTCGATTTTTACTATCAAACTTTAATAAAATTTTAATGAATAATTTATAAGTTTTCACTAAAATTAATGGTATGTTTTGACTTTAAAGTGAGGTGGTCTCTCCTCACTTAAATTTTTTTTTTTAATAAAACACATAAATATTTAAAAAACAACTAATAGCGTTACGATAATTTCTCAATTTAATTTATTTAACACGTTTTTATATTGTACCAAAAAAATTCCATTTAATTAACATTACTACGCCTAGTTTATAGTTTCATTTTAAATTTGCATTTAAATATAAAGTTAAAGCAAACAATAATTAGAACATGGGAAAACTGCCAATCTAATATCGTAATTAAACAGTTGCTGGAAAGAGTCAGTCAGAATGAATTATGCCTAGCTAACATGCATTACTTTTCTGATGAATAGGGGAATTCATTTTGACTTAAAGGCATATGGAAGAATCCTATACACATTTTTTAAAAAAGAAAAATGAAATTCTATAGATTTAGAAAAAGGTTGGCAAAAGTGATCACGGCATTGATAGTCAAACATCCTAACCACGTTAAACACATACTGTTTCTTACCATATTAATTCTTATCAAATTTTTAAATTTTAATTCCTTTTACTTTACAGTCTACAATTTTTCATATTTCAACCGACCTTTGAATAATTGACTTTTTTTTTTATATATATACTTTACCATTTGACAATTTGTAGACTTTTGATCTTTTTTTTTAGAGGAAAAAAAAAAGTTACGTGTATTTGTGATGTGAATTTAATAGGAACATTTCACTTAAAATAATTTTACTATAATTAATAAATTATGATTCATAATTATATAGAATTAATCAAAATTTTACATGAAATTCATATTTATAAGTAATTGATCCCTACTAATATTTTGTTGTATTTGAATAATTATGGTAGTTGAGGGATCATTTTACATAGTATAAAATTTTTTTAGTTTTACATTTTTTTAATTTTTTATTTTAATAGATTTAAGAGATGAGAGAGAAAAATAGTAAGAAAAAATAATTTAATCTCATCCATCCATTAGATCTATTATAATTAATGATTAAAAAATATGTAAAATTAAAAAAATTTTAGACTGTGTAAGTTGATCATTCTCTTTAAAATTATGATATATAAAATTGTATGTGATATACTCTCGAATTTAATTGCTATTAAAATTATATAGATTGTTTAATCAAGAAGGTGGAAATTGATTTTCGTGGCATTTTAAGCAGATGAGAAACAATTTTTTTTTAGCAAACAATCAAAAGTCAAAAGAAATAATTGAATTAAGATTTTTTTTAATATTTTAATTAAGGGATTTTTAGAAGAAAATTAAAAAAAAAAAGGAACTTAATAACTATTGAACTTGGCATGGTGTATAATGTTTATGATGAGAGAAGATACAATATCTCACCAACTCACAAACAGCAAATTAATTTAACAATAAAAGCTGGTAACTTAATATTTTGGCTACGTAAATAGGATTCGCCGCCATTAATAGCCTGCAGTTATTAACTTGAATGAAACGAATAAAAAAAAGTATAAAAAGAACAATATATATATATATATAAAGATCTCGATTTCACAGTCGAGTGACACCGACTCGGACTTACTAGACCGGTCAAAATAATAAATTTATTTACACAGAAAAAATTGCAATAAATAAAAAAATAAATAAAATTTTAGATTTTAAACCCCCGTGTAAAAAAAAAAATTTAGAAAATTTTCATCACATTTTCAAATTTTTACCCGTGTGATGCATAGTATCCATTTGCCAGCTTATAATCACATCCATTAAAATGGCAAAGTAAAGTGCTTAACAAAAAACTTATCATTTCTCATTTCTCCGTCAAAATTATAATAACACCCTTTGACAACAGCCTAATTATTTTTAACAAAAAATGATAAAAAGAAAAATAAAAATCTCGGCAAAACTCAACTCAACTCAACTCTCCGTTTATTTTTAACGGTGAAATTAAACAAAAAAAATAATAATATTACTTAACAATGTTAAAAGAACTGCTAATAAGTTGACCCAAATCTTTTTTATGTCGCCGCCGATCTAAAATCTGCCGGGAAATCGGCAAGCAAACGCAAACGACATAGCTCCAGAAAAGGGGACTGAACTTGCTTTTCTCATAGTGCCACAAGAGGGTCTGAGAGGAACAAATCACCGATGTCTTCAAAGTAATCGTCCGCTTGAGAAATAGACGATGAGGAGCAGCAGCTAAAATCTTGAGGCGTATCGAGTAAAATGTCACTGAAATCTTCACTGACTGCGCTACTGCCTGGCAAAATCGTCACGATATCATCAAAAAGCGACAAGCCCGGTGCTGGTACGTTAAAAAATTCGTTGATGAAAGCGAAATCTAGTGGCAAATAATCTCCCGAATCATCGGGCATGTTTGTTTCGGTTTCCCATTGACATTCGCCAAGAACCAGCTGCTCCTGAACTGGCGGCGGCTTACTTTCTTCTTGGAGTTCCTGAACCCGTTTTTCCAGTTCGACTGCTGTTTCTTCAGTTGATTGAGTTCCAAAGTTAAGAACTGAGGTTGAAGAAGAAAGATTGTGAGATGACTCGTCCCCTGATTCATGCCCAGAAACCGCAGCCACGTTAACGATGTTAGACTTTTCAACATTTTTCTTGGCAGGAGGAGTAACAAAGTTGGTCAAAGCTTCAGGTCCTCGAAGCTTGATTGCTGCATTATCATAAACCATGGCTGCTTCTTCAGCAGTGTCATAAGTACCCAACCAAAGCCGTACACGTCGAGCAGGATCTCGAATCTCTGCCGCCCATTTTCCCCATGGTCTTTGCCGTACTCCTCTGTACTTCCTAACATTTCCTTTTGCTGAAGAAAGCTTAAGTGGTCTTCGACAGGCGGTTGTAACGTCAGCGGCGGCGGCTGTTCTTTTGCGGTTGTTGTTGGAAACGGTGGTGCTGGCGGTGGTTTTGCGAGCGGCTTCTATGTTGATCTCGTTGACGTAGCGTTTCACTCTCTGGCGACCAAAGAAGTCAGCTTCCTCGTCGCTTGAAGAGTCCGTTGCATCAGGGTCAGCAACGGATACACGTACGATTCTCGGAACATCAGGGGTGATGTTGTTGTGAGTACGGTCATAATCGGAATCCGTCTTTTTGGGTTTCAAAGACGATTTTCTGAATTTTAAGTGACGTTTATGTGTTCGGTGTATTTGATCAGATATGGGGTACATTGGTCCAGTTCTGGCTTTGTTGATTTTTTTTTTCTTTTGGGGCTGTGTCCTTCTTGTGGTCTCAGATTCTGTCCGTTGGCATCGATAGAAAGAAGAGAACAATGGTCGACCAAGGTAGAAGAATAAAGTGGGAAAAAGGCGAAGGAACCGTGAAAGTGAAGTTTAAACCTCCAAAGAGAATAACAAAGACAAGGCTGAATAAGAAATCTGCCAAAAGGTTTCAAAAACACTATTAAAATATTGAAACACCTTGAAATATTATGTATTTCAGATATATATTGGAAGAAAGTAAGAATAGAGTTAGAGAGAAAAGGGCCGTCAACAAAGGGAACCTTGCCAAAGGCAGAAAAAGAGATCAAATCTTAGAGTCTTCCTGACAAAAAAAAAATCTCAGAGTCTAAAGATTTGTAAGAAAGCAACAGATATAAAAGGAGCGACTGAACCCAGCAGAAAAGGAAAGTCAATAAGTGTAGCTTGTATCAGAAAGAGCTCCACTAATTTTCTTTTAGGACAACCAAGTACCAGGAAGTTTCTATACTACTCACTATTCCTGAAGATTTCCTGGTAAAAAACCCAAACCCCCCTCAAACAGGCTTCACACTTGCTAGAAATCTAACTTCAAACACCAAAGAAAGAGAAAGAAAGGGCTACTAATATTGAAACAAGCTGTAGGGCGAGCGAGCAATAATATTTCAAAAAGAGTAGGCAAAATTGTAGTCAAGTAGCAGAGTTTTGGTTTCAAACTCTGGATTTGCCGTTTTATAGGATCCCACCACCCGAAATTAGAAAATCCTGAATATAATATACTATACTATCCCATAATTAATCAGTTTTTTTTTTTTAATTTACTAATTTTATTATTTCTTAAATCAAAATATATTTTGTTTAGTTTTTTAGGTACGTGTTTTATATAATCATGGGCAATTAGGATGGGGTTCGTGCGTCGCAGAGGTAGGTCTCACACCGAAGATTCCGGTGAGATACAAGCCGCTGCGTCCCGATGATGGCGTCTGATTTCAACAGGTCGAGAGTGGGCTCCAGTTGGACTTTCGTGGCCCAATGGTAGAGCATCAAATGCTGCTGACCCATGACTGGCTTTCGATCTAAGTGATGCCAATCACGTGAGACCGAAGATACCCGGCTGTGTTAGTCGGTTAAATTGTTTGATTAGGGAAAACACCTTTGACCACTTAAAAGCCTCGCCCCTCTGTTAATTACTGTTTGTTCCTCTAATCTGATACTTTAATTACTAATTAATTCTAGGTAATTAAGCCTAATGATTTGAAGGTACTCTGGTAATCTTGTTAGTGTAGAACGCTTCAGATCTTGCTGGCTCACTGCTTAATAATGCTAGTGTAATTTTTTTATACGAACAAATTAAGTTTTCAACTTGCTTATATATATTTTTAAATTTACTTTTTAACAGCTATAACGAACGTGAACTGCAACCTAGAATTCGCCGCCATTTCCTGTTCTCTTTGTTTCTGCTATCGAGACATGTGCCTCTCATACGTTCTTATCGTTGTTGGTGTCATACACGTTCTAAAACTACATACTCTTCGTTTGAGAAAAAAAAATAAATGGAATAAAGCAACAAAATCTCTATCGAACTGCAAATTTAACAAAATTATTTTTTACCTTTTTTTCTTTTTTAAACAGAGGCAAGGTTTTTCGTCTTTTATTATTATTTTCTAACGTTGTATGTGATTATTACGAGAAACATGTTGGGTGAAACATGGAAAGAAAAAAGGCCAATTATTTTCCTCGAAATAATAGTCGACGGAAAAAGTCTACTTTATATTTTCTTCCTTTTTTTTTTGTTTTTATTTGTCTCCATCAAAGTTGTTGACAATTCAAAAAAGAACATTGACTAAAAAATAGTACTGGTAGCATGTATCATTCTAATAAATAATAGGCCAATATTGCAATAAAAAGTTGTTTTCGCTATTTTATCTATTATTATTATTATGAATAAGAAAATGGTACAGCTTTCATAGTCTTTTTTGCAGTCAAAGAAAACACGCTCCTCTCTCTTCGGTCTAAGGCGCTTTACTTTTGAGTTTTGCCCATAACCTTTTTCGCGTTTTCTTACTAGTTCTCACCTGATAGTCCTCTACTCCTCTTGAGTCTTGAGACGTTAAACTGAAATTGTCATTTTTTTCTGCACTATTTTTCATTTCACAAATGTTAATTAGTGTTTATTTTTTACTATATTAATATTTTTATCAAAATTTCAAATGTCTTAAATGAGACAGAAATCAAGTCAAACTTTATAATGATTTTGAAAATTCAATCTTATCTAACTTGATTCATGAAAATCTTCAATAAACACATAAGAAATTGCAATTTTAACCTGAATAATTATTCATTATAATTCTAAAAACTCTCAAACATTCCTTACCTATAAATTAGTTGTGATTAGCTATTGAGGGAAGTTTAGATGAAATGCTTGTTGTATATATATACATATAAAATTACTTTTGTTATCTTAATTGAGGATGTCATTTTTCAGATAAACTAATTATGTTCCTGCAATTCCGGCAACTCATCACCATCGGTTTTACATTAATCAAAAGAAAAAGCTCCAAGGATTGAGGAAATAACACGAGTTAGATTACCAAATGCTAAAAAAACATAGGTAGCGATATTTTCTTTCCGTAAACAAGGAAGACACAGATGTTTTACTATGGAATAACCTTTTGACCTTCAAATTGTAAGGGACTAGCTTCAAACTGAAGCAAGACTCAATCATCCCACACCTATGTTACATCGAACAAAAAAGCCGACTGTTTTGTTTTCTTTTATCCAATACTTTTCTCGCATGGCCTCTCTTCCTTTTGATATTCAATTTTTTTTTAATGGTAAGAATTCTTAAGTTTCCGTCCGTATATATATATATATATATATATTTAATTAATTTAAACAAATTTTTTATTTTGGATTTAATAAATTTATGAATTGAAAAATATTATTTTTTTCAAATCTCTTAGTAGATTCGAACTCAAAATAACTAAAAAAAATGTAAACTCTCGTGTCACTTCGAGCCAAAGTCCCTTGCTTGATATTCAACATTTAGTTCATAAAAAGCGACAAAAAAAAATTAAGGAGAGATGGCCCTGACTGATTGGTTGTTAAGAGCTCAACATCACATATTAACAGCTAGGCAAATGTACGATCTTTTCGAATTCCGGAAATTTGCCGCTTTGTTTGTAGATTTTTGGTTTATGTATCATTTCTTTGTGCTTAGATATATCCAACTTGTGACATTGTAAATAATTAACCATATATATATGACATGAATTCTTTTTATTTTTATTTTTTTGACAGTCGGATAATCAGGATTCACGCGTATAGAAGGAAAATCTCAGAAACTATATGGAGCTCATGATATGGGAAGATGGTGATAATATGTTTGTTCGTACAAGGAAAGTTTACATTGCTTTGTCACATGAAATTCTGGAATACGACATTAAGACTTCTTAATATGGTTTTTAAAGAACTCCCAGTGCCCATGTGCCTTTCATTTCTCAGCATCATATTTAGAAACCTTAATTTGTTCTGTCCCAAGCATTCCTAAACTTGAATCATTTTGGAAAAGTCTAACAATCAATTCTACGTACCGAAATGCGATTTTATTTGGCCAATGCTAAATTATAACAAACTTTGAGCAAATTTTACGTTATATTTGGATAAACATTAATAAAAAAAAAGAAATGAAACTAACAATGTGTTTGGATTGAAGAAAAATTAAGGAAATGAAAGTAAAGTAAAGAAATGTAAAGGAAATAAAATCCCATTTCCTTGTTTTGATAAATTTTTAATTTAAAGAAAGAAAAAAAAGATAAAAACCAAAGAACCTTTGATTTCCCTTATAAACCTAATTTTTTTCAATACCTCAATTTAAAGGAAACGCTAAAGAAAGAAAAGTTGAAAAATATTTTTTTTTTATAAAAAGACTATTATGTTCATCTTTTTATTGATAAAAATCTAATAAAAAAAACCTAAGTAGATCACAATCATCCTATAATTTTTTCTAAGTCATATATTTTCAAGTAAATTTCACATATTTCTTCTAATATAAAATTTTTTTATAATTTTTTGGTTATTTGATTTTGATGAATGGTTGAATATGAATAAATATGTTTTTTATGTTTATGAGATGATTGATTAGCTCAAAATCCATCAATGCATGTTTGTAAAATAATTCATGTTTCACTTAATTAAAAACCATTGATATAATAGTAATTATGAGGTCAGACAAAATAACAAACATATCATGGTCCAAGAGTATTTTAAAATCACAAGCAATGAAAGATTATAATTGAAAAAAATTATTATAATAAATTATTTCTTTTTTTTTTCACTATTTATCCAAACAATGGTTATTAAAATTTTTTTCCTTTCTTTTTTTTTTTTTTATTAATTTTAATTATCCAAACAAGGGTTACTAAAGTAAAAAAAAGAAATGTTCTTTTAAAGGAAAGGAAAAGATATATGTACAATTTGTTTGGATAACTAAAATTAATAAAAAAAAATGTAAATGAATCTTAACAATTATTGTTTGGTTAAATAATAGAAAGGAAAGAAAATGATTTATTATATTATTTTTTCCCTATTATAACCTTTGATAATCTCTATTTTTACTATAACATTTACATCTTTATGTTAATTTATTCCATATTTTCAAATTTCCTTTATTTCTTTATAAAAATAGTCATAAATGAAATTTATCAAATTCATAAAAATAGGAGAAAAAATTAAAGATAATAAATTTATTGGTAAATGATGTTTTGTATTTTCAATCTAATTTTAGAATTCAAAGTTATACACTTTTAATTTAAAGAAATTAATAAAAACATAATAATCGTTTTATATTTTGAAATTTTTATTATTTTCATTTCCCTTCCTTTTTTTCCAATTTAACATAATTAAAAAATAAAAAAATTGAAAGAAATCAAGAGAAATTAAGCATACATTTTTTTTATTATTTATGTCATATACAAACAAAAAAAAAATTCATTTCTTTTTGTTTCCTTTCCATTCTTTTTCTTTTTTTTCCTTTCGTTCAATCCAAACAT